ATTTTGAATTTATCTCAATTTTTTTATTTGTCAAAATAAATAAATATTTTTTTCTATTTTAACTTTATCATTATCTATTTATTTTAATTAATCATATAATTCCAAAAAATCTTTTTTTTTGTTTTTTATTTCTTTTTAAGGGTTTTATAAATAAATACAAATATTGTTTTAAAATTTTTAATTTAGAGAAAAATAAAAAAACAGCAGATATTTTGGGATGGAAGGAGTATTAAAATGAAAAATAAGATAATTAAATCAAACTACATCTATTTAAAAATAAGACAATTAAATTAGAGCAAAAAAGAATACTTTATTTCAACTCTCCTAAACAAATAACTAATGAAAATAGAATAAATAAAAAATTCTCACAATCTTATACTCTTTTCGTTCTTTTTTAATAAATTGAATTTGATTTTTTAAGTTTTAATACATGAATTTTAAATAAAATTTTAATAATTTATATGAATAATAATAATAAATTTATCAAATAAAAATGCTTAACAAAAATTATATATATAAATAAAATAATTTCAATTTATCAAATAAAAATGCTTAACAAAAATTATATATTGAGATAAAATAATTTCAATTATTATTTATATAAATTATTAAATTTTTATTTAATTTTATATTTTAAAAATTAAAAAATTATATTACGTCTATTAAAAATAAGTAGAAAGAATATCTTTTAAAAATAATCTCACAATGTATTTCGTAAATCTAAATTTAGGAAAATGCTCTTCTCGAAAAAAAAAAAAAAGAGAGAGAGAGAGAAATGTGCTGCAATCTTCGTTTGGCCATAAAAAAGGGGAAAAATAGTGAGGGATGCGGTCTAGATCCATGTCCCATTGCCACGTGGATCCTCATTTATTGTTCCACTCACAAAATCACGCCACCTCTCCTATTACACTTGCCACTTTGAAGTGGTAATGGAAAGTAGAAACCAAGGTTTTTAAAACCGGACCGGACCGGCCGGTTGAACCGGTCGGACCGGTACCCGGTCATGAAAACAGTTCGGTTCACATAAGAAAACCGTTTTAGGTCAAAACCGGTCAAAACCGGTCAAAACCGGTTAAAACCGGTAAAAACCGATAAAACCGGTGAAACCAGAAAAACCACCGGTTCAATTTCTCATGCAATCTTCTTTCAATTTTTTCCAATTTCACCCTTCCCATTCCTTTCTTATATCCATTTTAACCTTTAAC